GAGATGTCCTCATGCAGGACTTCTCTGTGGTGGAGAGCGTCTTCCTGCCCAGGTACGCACTCACTTCTTTATTGCACCACTTCTACTTCCTGCCGGCTAATGTCACGCCCAACTTACAAAACGGGTATTTTTCCATCCGCCTCCGATCATTAACACCCATACAGACCTTTTCTGGCGATGTCTTGAAGCGTTCACCCTAAAATCTACTGGGAATGTGATTTTGTTTGTACTGCTTATGGATTATAAAACATGTCGTTGGAAAATGTACGACTCAGAAAACATTTGTGATTTAAGTAAGCTGACTCATAAATCCAAGATTGGCCTCGTTACACGGCACATCTCACTGCACGATCCAAGAATTTGGTCTGTGTGGTCCAAAAAATTAAAATGCAAGACCGAGTGAGTCAGCTCGGTTTAATAAATGTTGTTCAGTCTTCTCTAGCTTGAAGCTAAAACTGTTCGAGGATATTAATAATAATTGAATTTGTATAAAAAGGAATGAACTTGGAATGACCCTGACAAAACTTTAACCTGCTGTTATTTATATAAAACAAAGAAGGCTGTAAAAAAAAAAAAAAAAAATCGGATATGATTTTAAAAGAAAAAAAAGTACATAAAAAATAGGAAAGTCCCTTTTGGAAGAGCACAACCTGATTACTTGTGGTTTAGCAGCAAACCCCACAACTCAGCAGCTCCTCTGTTCTCAGAAGTTTTGACTTCTCTTTGACATCATTATGGGAAATGGAATTCAGTCATTACTGGTTCTATGATTCACTTCTGTGCATTTCCTACTTAACATGCTATGCTGCAATTATCTCTTCACATATACCAACTATCAGGTATTTTGTGTGTGTTCCAGTGAGGGCAGCAACCTGACTCCAGCACATCGCTTCCCAGATTTCCGTCTGAAAACGTACGCCCCGCTGGCTTTCCGCTACTTCAGAGAGCTCTTCGGCATCAAACCAGACGACTATCTGGTGAGCGCAAGAGACGAATTCACACCGTCAGTCTGATTCAGCACAATGTGGTGCAAGTTTGGTCGCAACACTTGGTTGCGCTGACGCCGTTGCTTCATTTTGAAATTTCAGTACTCCATCTGCAACGAGCCCCTGATCGAGCTGTCCAACCCCGGCGCCAGCAGCTCCTGGTTCTACCTCACCAGCGACGACGAGTTCATCATCAAGACGGTGCAGCACAAAGAGGCCGAGTTCCTGCAGAAGCTTCTCCCTGGTTACTATATGGTCAGCAAACAGTCTGATCACATGCAGACTAACACAGATATTACTGATTCAAGGGTACCTCAAAGAGTTCTCAGCCTCACCAGAAAAACGTCACAGGAGAAAGATGGTTCCTAAATTAAACTTAAACTTAGGACTGCAAGGTGGAGCAGTGGTTAGTACTGTTGCCTCACAGCAAGAAAGTTGCCGGCTCGCGTCCCGGTGAGGACACCCGGGATCTTTCTGCGTGGAGTCTCCATGTTCTCCCCGTGCAGCGTGGGTTCTCTCCGGGTTCTCCAGCTTCCTCCCACACAGTCCAAAAACATGTTGAGGTTAATTGGTGATTCTAAATTGTCCGTAGGTGTGAATGTGAGTGTGCTTGGTTGTCTGTCTCTAAGTGTAGTCCTGTGATAGACTGGTGACCTGTCCAGGGCCTTCACCGTGAGTCAGCTGGGATAGACTCCAGCCCCCCATGAGACCCTCATGAGGATTAAGCGGTGTGTAGATAATGGATGGATGGATGTTCTTCTTTAACTTCGCTGCACTTGACCCGGCCATGTTCAAGCTTTGCAATCCCTTCATGGACAAAGGTCACATGTTGAGCCTCCAGATGCTTCTCAGCAGCATGTATGACTTCATCATCAGGAAAATAGTGACCAGTAGTAGAACAAGAACCTTTCCTCTCCTATTTTGTGATTGCTTCTGACATTTGAGTTTTGGTGGCCGGTGATATCAGGCTTTATAGTTACAGCTGTGCCCCAAAGTAGGAGTTGGGCCCCTTGTTTCATGGTGAGGCCGAGAACTTCTAGAGGTACCCTCATATACTACATCAACACATCAGTGGGCAAACATGCAAAACAAAAAGTTTTATCATCAGAGGTAACATTTGTACTAAACCCCTGTAGCGTACTGCAGGTTTTCTATTATTTTCAGCCCTATGGGATCTATTTGGTTGGTGGATGTTTTTCATTAAATTTGCAGGTTTTTAGATATCAAAATGTTTCTGCAAAACAATTATAAGGATGTTTTAAGATTATAACTGGCGATATCTGCCCTACATCTATTCTACATGAGCTCTTGAAGGTTCCTTCTACATTTCTGTGGAAGTAAATCTGCTTTATTTTTGACTTTGAGTGAGAAGGTTTTCATAAAACACCAGGATGTGGCTCGATGATGTACATTTCCTGAAATAACCTAATTGCCCCACAGCTTGTGTTTACTTGCAGCTCATTGGTGATTCGATTTGTTCTCTAAAAACCACCTTATTTTTAAACAGGTTACGTGGTGAAAGAGCTCACAGTTTTTTTCCTGTGTTGGCACACGTCTGACACTTTAGAAACTCGACCTGGAACATGACCCATTTGGCTTTCTGTATCTAAGTTTCAGTTTTTGTCAGCCCTTTGATTTATAATTTTTTCCTATCTGACGTCTTCTTCATGAACCGCAATCATCTATCAGCTGACACTAAGACATGTCTGTCTCTTTGTAGAATCTAAATCAGAACCCGAGGACGTTGCTGCCCAAGTTCTACGGCCTCTACTGCATCCAGTGTGGCGGCGTCACCGTCCGAGTGGTGGTGATGAACAACATTCTGCCACGAGCCATGAAGATGCACTACAAGTACGACCTGAAGGGTTCTTCGTACAAACGCCGCGCTTCACGTAAAGAACGAGGGAAAGCCTCGCCCACGTTCAAAGACCTGGACTTCCAGGAGATGCACGAGGGCCTGCACTTCGACCAAGACACCTACAACGCCTTGATGAAGACCCTGCAGAGGGACTGTCGGGTACGCTAACATGAATATCTTTTTGCACAGCAGGCTGTGATTTTTGGTATGAAATCAAACTGAATGGCAGATATTTAGGACAGTGGTTTAGAATTTTCACTATACTTTAAAACATGCTGCTCAGACCAACAACATGACCTACTAGCTGCTCATCTGGATGTGTTGCTAGTGACTAAACATGTCAAAGCTGCCTTTAGAGTGTTGCTGGAGATGTGGTCAGAGGGTTTTATAACTTTGAAAAGGTTCATCTTCCAGGGAGCAGGAATGTGATGAGTCAGATGAATCAAAATCTGCTTGATTATGAAACTTCTTGTGTAAGAACCGACGCTATGGCCTAAGGATGGCTCTAAAGGAATCCTTTGGGGATCACGTATATGCTACGAAAATTGAATTAACATCCGGCCAAACCAGTGGTGCGCCCTCATCAGCTGGCTATTAGATGTCTAGTTGAGCAGCTGTCACCACCATTGAATTCAGTTTTTATGGTCCATTCTGCATCTAAGAACAATAGTACGTCACAAATTGCTCCCCTACCACCATTGGCCACCATTGGATTATCACAGCTTGCTGATAAGTCAATCAAAGTTGTTTAAACACCAGAGCTGGGATTTTGGGATCTGTTGTCATGAGCTAAAGTGTTGGCCTTCACAAAAAACAGAATAACAATTGAAGTGTTTATCCAGATAACTTGCCTTGGATTGTATTATATGTGTCAGATGGCATGTTGCAAATGGAGACTGTACCAATGAATAGATGTTTCTGTCTATACTGATATCATTATGTTATTTGGAATAAGACTGGAACCACCTCTTTATTTTTTGTTATTAATTAACTCGTCAGTTAGTTTTGGAACAGACCAAGCCCCAACCACATGCAGCCCAACGTGATGTTTTGAAATGTTGCCCAAAGACATTACATTTCCACCGTAATCGCTTCAATCAACTTATCATTCCCAAACTAAGACCACTCATGGCGGGTTTAGCTCTGCTCTCTGACGAATTGAATTCCGTCGATGATCGCAGCACGACTCCTCCACGTTGATAATGTTACGCAACCGCGGCTGGCCGGTGCGTCGAGCTGCTCACTCGAGCTATTTTAATGACCGTAATGATTATTGCCTGCCTGTTATTTCATTGGTGAGAAACAACAGGATTAGCACTCAGCACCTGACCCATGATCGGGCTGAGCAGCTGGACTCTGGAGCACAAACCAGTCCGTCTGGGTGGGCCCGTCCTCGGCGAGTGCATTAGGTAACACGGTGCTTATTAAGGACCTCTTTGTGTGCAGGAGTTACTTGATGACATCAGTGTTTGGTCAGGGGGATTGAGGCTTACGCTGCTCTGTACTTTTGGTTTGCAGATCCAGTTTTAACCTCCTTAGGTGGGGACTGCTTGTGCTTCCAAAAGGTCAATTTCCAGCTTTGTTCTGTAACTCTGGGTGGTTTTAAAAAGCACTGTGCTGCGTCACCAGTCCTGTTTTATTATATGAGTCAGATTCTTGTTACTAAAATGATAATATGTGTTGGCAAAAGAGCTGCACAAAGACCAAAAAGGTGGCACAATGTCCCAAATAATGACCAGGGACGTTTGTGCTTGATGTCCTAATTCAAAGACAGGATCCGTCTAAGGACATGTCTTTTTAGTGTTTCCCAATTTCATGCTATAAGTGTAGCTATGGACACACTATGTGGTATATTCTCAGTAAAAATGATCAATATATTGATCATGTTTGCTTGATGCTACTTTAGTAAGACAGCTAGGGGATCCCAGAGTAGCAGAAAAGCATTCAATCTCTAGAAATGTGTTTATATTTTTCTTTCTGGATGCAGCATAAATGCAATGTGCAAACTGTAGCACCAGAAAGTTGCCCTCAGCTGGTTATCAGATTGGTAGATCCCTGTAGGCCTTTCCATGATTTCAGGTCATAGCACTGACATTTAACTTCAACACATGTCAGTCAGTTGTAGTGATAAATATAGTAACCAAACAGCTAACCTGCTCCGGAGGAGGTTCTGCTCACACTTCTATTCCTGATGATGCTTTCTGTGAGTGATACAGGTTCTCAGCAGAGGGAATGTGTTATAACTGCAAACGTGTGTGTTATCAGTGTCACTGAAGGAAACCCTGCAGTTATAGTAGCGCGCACTATATGGGTTGTGTTGCCATGGAAACCTGCATGCATTCACCGGTGATGCAGAAAATATAAAAAAGTGTTTTTTTATATTTGTTCCTGTTTTACCCTGCTGTTGCTGCAGCTACCAGATAAAAAAAATGAATTTTCCACAGAGAACATTCAATCAAAAGCATAAATTCCACTTTGATTTGATCTAAAACTAAAGCAATTTACACAAAGTCTTCATTATGGGACAGAATCACACCTAATAAACTACTTCAATATCATGTCTAAATGTGTAACATGTGAAATTTGACAGTTCTAATAAAATATGCAGTAAGTAGTAGTAAAATAACTCCATCAGTTCACATCATTGACAATTTTATACCAGCAGTCTTCTCTTGCATCTTTTGCAGTAACAGTGTGTTTCATGTCATGCATTTTTAGATATTCTCTTGTTTAGTTCATTTTGTGCAGAGGAAGAGTCAATACCACCTTTCTTTTTTTATGCCAGCTCGAACAGAAGCTGATGAAAAAAGAAAGAAATTCAACCAAGCTTCTGGTACTCAGTTTAGTAGTCAAGCCAGCTAACTCAAATAAAGCCGGACTACATCGACGCTGCTTCATGTTACACCCCTCAGATGTGTTGTTTAGCAAGTTCACTAACTCGGTACAGTGTGTTTGCATGCTTGGGTTTGCTAATAAACACAAAGAAACAACACAGCTGATGGGAATGTTAGCATTTCTGTCAAAAAAAAAACAAAACAAAACTGTTACACATCTCGTTGGTCCAATATCCTGTGATTTATGGATATTTTGCGCTTTAAAAACCCTGAGCAACATCTATTTTTCTACATACACTAGAACACATACCATTTCCTTAGTCTTTCTACAAACTGTGCAGTAATGAAATCAGTGTTTCTATTAATCCAAACCCTGTGCAACACCACTGATATGTGCAATAATGTTGTTTTTTAGAACCAGTCCTTATATATATATTGGTTTATTTTTATTATAAGACGTAATTCCTTAAATGCCTGCACTATCTTTGCTGTTGTTACAGTGCAAATTTCCCCATCGTGGGATTAATAAAGGCTATCTTATTTTAACTTATCTTACAAACCAAAGTACAAGACAGAATAAATAGTTGGCCTGATGGTGGACAAAAAGTCAGAGGATCATCAGATTTGTTAATTCTGAGGTGAACATTTGCACCAGATTTCATAGCAATCAATACGATAGTTGTTCAGATTTCTCACATAAAAATCCAACCGGTGGGACTGCTTTTAGCGAGGAACCCCACCAGTTGGGTTTTTGTGTGAGAAATATTGTGGATATTTGCTAAAATGCACCATTATGCAGGAATATGTACAGTGGGAACACCTCAGAAAGCCACAAATTAGCCAATACTGCTGGTCTTTCTTAGCTGATAATGTAATTTAAGTTCTTGTGCAGTTCTATAGATTACATAAAACCACCAGACAAGCTGAATCAGGGGCTTCTGGGGCCCTTATTGGTGGTCTGGGTCAACAGAACCATTGTCTGCTTTGCCTGCATGACTGTTAGCCACCAGCATGGATAAACCTTTACTGGGTAATAGAACATGGCAGCAAGGAGAAAGAAGGGTTTTGTCCTTCAGCACTAGAATCCTCAGCTACAAGTAGAGGAGGATTTGAAACAAGACCTACTTTCGTTACTTCTTCAGTTTGGATGCTTATGTTGGGTTTGTGCGTTTTAACCAGGTGCTGGAGAGCTTTAAGATCATGGACTACAGCCTCCTGCTGGGGATTCATGTTCTGGATCGTAAGCCGCTGGTCAGAGGGAGCCGATGCGACAGCAGGAAAGGACAGAAGTTCCTTTACTCCACCGCCCTGGAGTCCATCCGGGGGAACGTGAAGGACACAGAACCAGGGACAGACGATGACACGTGAGAAAATGGGTTTTTATGACTTTGTAAAATGCTCTCTTAACAGCATGGTTTCATATCAGAGGTTTCTATTGTGGAGACGTTTCTTTTCAGCAAAGTTGACATACTTGCTTTGATATGCTGAAAGAATTCCCAAATGATTTAATTGTTAAGTTTGTAAAAGGTCTCTTGAAGTCTTAAAAGTCTCTTCTGTTGCTTTAGTGGCTTTTTACAAAAACTGTATAAATAAAACTGTTCTGTCTGATCCAAATGACAAATACTGAAGATGCTGCTGTGACAACTACTTAAAACTCTAAAAACATATTCAGGAAATCAGCTGTATTGTATGTGCCACAACTACACATTTATCCCAGAATGCAGAAAATTCTGAAATCCATCAGTTTAATTTTAATGTAAGCTGGTAAATGAATCTTTTTTTCAGATTGGGTGGAATTCCTGCCAAACACAAAGACGAGAGCCTGCTCATCTTTTTAGGAATTATCGACATCCTTCAGTCTTACAGGTGAGTTCACGGCATCAGGACACACAGACAGGAATTTGTTTGAGTTTTGTTTTGAGTTTGATTCTAGTTA